CCCCCCCCCGCACTGACGTTGTAAAGCTCATTTTGGACATGACAACTTGTACTTCTCATTGTTGCAACAGGTCCACCTGTATCCTTAAACAACTGTTAAACCTTTTTCTTAAATCATCTTACCCATCTCAGTAAATTGCAAATTCATATACTCTTCAGTTGCTTAGGCCCCACATCTTGAAATTATCCTTGAATTAATTTTTCTACCTCTTTCAGTACTTCAGCAAATCCTGTACATTCTATATTCTTCTCATGATTTCTTATCATCCCCCCTCTAAGCCACTACTTCCCTACTACTACCCCTCCTAGTTGATCTGCTTGATTCCTCCTTCTTCCTGAATAGCCCTTTTCAATATATCAGCCAGATTAGTTATTCTAACATAGTTTACCTAAGTTAAATCATATTAGTTTTCTACTCAGTTTCCTGAGCCTCACCAAGTTTTCCATCTCTGGCATAGCCTTACATTCTCACAACCTCCTACAGGTTTCTACATGGTCTGTTCCTCAATAAGGTCCTTGGTGTGACTTCTTCCTATTTTCTACCTTGCTCACCCCTGCACCAGCCATCTTATTAATTGTCAAAGTATTGGCTGTAAGGGAAATCCACATGCACTTCCTAAACTCACTAAGTTTGCTCAGGGCCTTTTCACTCTACCTGAAATGCAGGTATTTTCATTACTTGCCATGTCCACTCTTTTTTTTTCTTTATATTTAAAATAAGTTAGTTTTTTATTGTGAAAATACTGTACAGAGGGGTTACAATTACATGAACAAGCATTGTTGCCTCCCTCCCTCCCTCCCACCTCCATAACTACACTCCCTCCCTGGACCGCCCCCCCCCATAAATTGTAAAGTTCGTTTTCAACATAGTGTCTTGTACATCTCATTGTTGCAATGGGTCAACCTGCATCCCTATTCAAACATTTTGTTTTTCCCTTCCTTCCCCAAATTATACCAACATCAAATATAGTGAAAACAGGGGTTATACCTTGTGGGAGGAACATCCAAAGCAACCAAAAAATCACTTGGTACCTTATAAATACATTAGAAACAATAGCAAGAAAGAAAAAAAGGTTTTGTCCTATCTTAGGGTTCATTTCGCTTAACTTCATCTTATCTGGTCATATGTATATAGCTTTTGACCTTTTCTACTTGTTCCAGACATATACTAGTTATTGCAAGTAAGGGAAACCATGGGCCTATGTTTCTTTGGGCCTGGCTTACTTCACTTAATATAATTTTTTCCATGTCTTTACGTTTCCTAACAAATGGGGCAATGTCATTCTTTCTGATGGAGGTATAGAATTCCACTATATATATACCACATTTTCTTGATCCATTCATCTACTGAGGGGCATCTGGGTTGGTTCCATATTTTAGCTATGGTAAATAATGTTGCAATAAACATAGTTATGCTGGTAGCTTTAGTATGGTTTTGTCTGTGATCATTTGGGTAAATGCCCAGTAGTGGGATTCCTGGGTTATCGGGGAACTCTTTGTGGAGTCTTTTGAAGAACCTCCATACTGCTTTCCAAAGTGGTTGAACAAGTTTACACCCCCACCAGCAATGCAGTAGGGTTCCCTTTTGACCACATCCCCTCCAACATCTGTTGTTATTAGATTTCTTGATTATAGCCATTCTAACTGGGGTGATGTAGAATCTCAATGTTGTTTTGATTTGCATTTCTTTTATGGCTAGGGAGGTTGAGCATTTCTTCATGTGTCTATTGGCCCTTCTTATTTCCTCTTCAGAGAAGTTTCTCTTTCAGTCTTTAGCCCACTTATTTATTGGGCAGTTGTTTCTTTGAGGATTTGTTGTTGAAGTGAAGGACCTCTATGAAAACTTTAAAAATCTGAAAAAGGAAATCAAAGTAGAACATAGAAAGTGGAAAAATCTCCCGTGCTCCCCTCAGTTGGAAGGATTAACATCGTGAAAATGGCAATACTTCCTAAGGCTATGTACAAATTCAATGCAATACCTATCAATATTCCAACATCAACATTCATGGAAATAGAAGAGGCAATCCAAAAATTCATATGGAACAATAAAAGACCCCGAATAGCAAAAATGAGCCTTAACAGAAAGAACAGTGCTGGAGGAATATCAATACCAAATTTCAAATTCTACTACAAAGCCATAGTAATCAAAACAGCTTGGTACTGGCACGAGAACAGACCTCAGGACCAGTGGAATAGAACTTTAAACCCAGAAATGAACCCATAGACTTATAGCCACCTAATCTTCGATAAGGGAGCTAAAAACATAGAATGGAAGACAGCCTCTTCAGTAAATGGCAAAATTGGTTAATCACCTGTAGAAAACTAAAGCTAGATCCTTATCTATCACCCTGCACCAGAATCAACTCCAAATGGATCAAAGACCTTGGAGTCAAAGCAGACAACTTGAAAACATTACAGGATGAAATAGGAGAAACCCTACGTCTCCTTGTCACAGGCCGAAATTTTCTTAATAGAGACCCAGAAACACAACAAATCAAAGAACGGTTGGACAAATGGGATTGCATGAAATTGCAGAGCTTCTGCATGGCAAAGGACATAGCTAGCAAGATCAATAGAAAGCCCACAGATTGGGAGAAGATCTTCACTAGCCATATAACGGACAAGGGTCTCATATCTAAAATATACCTGGAACTCAAAAAATTAAATCCCGCAACAACAAATATTTTTTAATGTAAATATATTTTTTATTGTAAATATACTGTACAGAGGGGTTACAGTTACATGAGTAAGGTAATGAGTCCATTTCCTATAGAGCATTGTTACCCCCTCCTTTATTTTTCCCTTACCATCCCTTTCTTCCCCACCTCCCCAACTCCTCCCCCCCTGCAAAGTTATAAATTTCATTTTCAACATAGTGTCTTGTATATCTCATTGTTACAATGTGTCATCCTGTATCCTTATTTCAGCATTTTGTTATTTCCTTCCCCACCCCACCCCCAAATTAGCAAAATGTATATATAAGATACAGGACACTGGAATCAAGTACAGTGACAGCAGGGGCTTTTCTTATTTTAAAAAATTGTCTTTGAATAGTTGTTCAAAGGTGTTTCCACTCAGTATGTCAATATGTGTGTGTGATGCACAATGATCAATGCCACCCTTTCTGTCATTCTTTTTCCAACATCTTTCCCAATGCTATCCTTCCCTTCAGCTTTCCTAATTCCATTTAAATATATGTACATTGAATATTATGACTTTATTCACCAGTGTTCCCCTGTCCATTCTGTCATCCTAGCTAAGTCTTTAATTTTTTGTTTAGATCTCCAATATGGGTAGCTCTTCTGCCTGTACTACCTAAAATAGTCTTACTACCTACATTAGCACCGCCACCCCCATCACCACCACAATGACCACCAGCACTCCCTTATGCCTCCCCTGCCTTTTTACTATCCATGTGCTCGTTGCTATCTTACTTTTACATTTATTTGTTGACTTTCCTCCACCTAATATGTAAGCTCTGTATTCTTGAAGCATCAGCACTTACACAACAGCACTTTTCATGTAGCTTAAACCCAGCTGGTACACTTTCTCCTTGTCCCTCAGCTCTTACTAACATAGAATGCAGTTGATAGATTTTGTGGAGTCAGTAAATAGAAAATGAAGATGATCTGTGGTTAGTGATACCACCCACTGATTCTGTTTCTTTCCTTTGGCCAAATTGGCTGCTGTCAGTTTAAGATATTTTTGGAAGTTAGGACAATAATTATTAAATCTTCTATAATTTATTGCCAGGGCATTGGTTTGACTTTTACTGCAAGTCTTTTTGAATACGCCCATATATTCTAACTAGTAAAACATTCATGGAATTCTTCTTACTTGACTCAGAACCATGTCTGGACTAAGACTTCGAGAGGCAGTTCAGGCAGTAAGTAAAATATGAAATAAATATCTACACACATATTTGGTGAAGAGGAAAAATTCCTGCTCCTATGATTGTGCATTTTTAAATTTTTTCCTAAGATGAGTAGAGCTTCTTTCCTAAAAATTAGACATTAATTTCCAGATGACTTCTAGCTATTTGTTTCAAGGATTTCCCAAGATGACTAGAAGATTCTGTCTTTGTTGATATGGTCATTAAAATATCATTTCTATTAATTTGCTCATCTGTAATATTTCATAAAGGACACATATACCTCTATATTCCTTTGTGGTTATGATCATTGAGAAGGATTTCATTAAGAGAAATATTCTAGCAATTCACATAATCAATTATACTTTAAATATAACAGAAATAATAACTTTAAGATGAGTAATATTTTACTAGGCTTTACTTTTCCCTCCTAAGAATTTTTATCTTATGGGATGAAGGACATGACATGACTGCTGTGATTTCAGGCCTGTGTAATGTGCAACACATTATATTGCCACTTACAGGTCAAGTAAAAAATTTTCACCTTTAAATGAATTTTACCATGATTAACACTACTGTGTCAAATGAGATTTTCTAGGCTTCTCAATCATATTTCTGAGAGTTGACGTTGTTTTAGGTGGTAGTGTCAGAGAAAGATAACCCAAAGGTGGTTGGAGTTTTAGGTTTATCAGTTCCAGTTCAGGCCAAATTCTAGTTTCATTGACTTCCATCATCCCTAAAAACAATGATTTTTGTTAGGGGTGAAAATAACTTTTTTTTAATGATACTGGTGTCTTAAAACTCCTCAGAAATTGGGAAAACTCTCAAGGTCAGCTGCTATTTATTGAATGCATTATTCATTCAAATCCCTTTAAAATATAATCTTAAATAATTTTTCTGGTACTTCCTGAAGTAGGGTATGGTTATACCTATGATATAGATCAAGAAAGTGTTTAGAGAATTTAGGATATACTGAAGTCTGGTATTGTCTCTCTGTTTCTAAGTAGTCTAGAAAGCGGTCAAAATAGTTTTTAACAACAGTAGTTTAACACTGAAAATATTCTAACGTTCCACAAGTACTACATTCTAATATAATTGCTGGTATATCATGTTCACCCATTCAGCAGCATATGTTGTTGGCAAGTTATGACAGCAGTGGAATCTCTGCTGTTGCCTGCCCTCTATTTGCTTTACTGAGGGCCTATACTTTTAGAAAACCTTGTTTGTGTTACTCAGCTTTCTACTACTATGACCAAGAAAAAACACGAGACTATCCACTGAGAAAGGAGAGAGGCTGTGCTGACTCACATGCTTGGGAGATGCATTGCTTTTAGATCTTGGTGAAGGTTCCAGATGGCACCGGAAGGAGTATGTGGTAGAGCAAAGCTGTTCAGCTAACTGACAGGAATTGAGGAGAGAAAGAGAAAGGGGTTTAAGTCTCAGCCTCTTCTTTTAGGGAAGGCTGCCACTGTCCTTAATATTTCCTACTACGGGAGTAGGGACTTAGTTTTTGTTACCTCCAAATAGCACTTTGATGTAGACCAAAACTTGTAGATCCAAGACACTCCAGATACAAATTTTATAACATTGTTGAATAAATGTTCCTGAGATAAAATGTGGTTGTAATAACACTCTTCTGTGTTATTTAGCATTTCCTTCAATTATGAATTCCAATAATATGCAATAATAATATTTGCAATAATTCTGACTTTGTCCCCAATAGGAATCATAATATTTTAACATGACATATAGCTATTATAGATACTGAAATGTCTTTTATTCTATTTTTTAATTAAAAAATCACATTATACCAGTATCTACTCATATTTACTATTAGATCATGTTGCATGGTAGCATAGTGAAGAAGCACAGCATTCCCATCTCACAATTTTGTTACAGTCTGATAAGAATATTTTAACCTTTGTCAACCTTACATTTCATTTTTTAAAATTTTATGCACTTAGGACAATTATTTTGAGAAGGCTCTATAAGTCCCAAAACATTACAAAAATATATCCATACCGGGAAGAGCTCATTCATGCGTGTGCTCCTGGAAGGATTGCTATGAACTCATTAATTAATTAGGTCAACATATACATGCTATAACTCTGCTATTCACTTCCAAGGGCTAACAAGAATAAGATACAAAATCTGTTCCTGCTCTCAAGATCCGTAGAAGCTACTGGTGTAGTAGAGAGAGAGGAAAGCAGATAAACATAACTTCTATAGAAAGCAAGGCCTGGGTGATAATGAAAGAAAAAGTGGGGTAGGGAGTGGGGAGGGTGGGAGATGGGACGGGATGGGAAGGGGAAACAAAGGAGGAGACAACAATGCTTGATAAGAAATGCACTCATTACCTTGCCCATGTAATTGTAACCCCTCTGTACAGTATTTTCACCATTAAAAATGTAAAAAAAATTAAAAAATTAAAAAAAAAGAAAAAGTGTAAGAAAGTTCCAGATTATACTGAGTATTTGAGGATGAGGACTGGTAGACATGAAGGAAGGAAGATGTGACACCTGTATGAGTTCTTTAAGACCAAGTGAGGACTAGTTGAATAAAACCTAGGAAGGTGTTCTCTATACAGAGGAGCACATGCAAAGGCCTAGAGAGGCAGACTTAGCCCACTGATAGGCTAGAGTTAGTGCAGTACCATGTAGTAAATGTGAGGGCGACATGAGGGCTGGAGTGGAAGGCAGGGGTTCATTGAAAGGAAGAGTGTTAAGTGCAGTACAGCAGAGCTTTGGCTCAGAAAGGAAGGTACTAAAGAACTGTAGTAGGATCCAAAGCAGGAGAATGCTTTGATCCCCTTTGTGATTTGGGAAGGTCTCTAGAATGGCAGTGTGCAAATGACCTGGAAAGACATGTATGGAGACAGAACTGATTAAAAAGTTTTAGTGAAGATCTAGGCAAGAACTGAGCACTTGAAGAAAGATAAATATAGCAGAGACAGAAGAAAATGATATACTTCAGTGTTTTTTTTTTCTGTGCTAGTTCTGGGGCTTGAACTTGGGGTGAGGGAACCTTGAGCTTGTTTTTGCTCAAGGTTAGTGCTCTACCACTTTGAGCCACTGCACTATTCTCAGCTTTGGTAGCTAACTAGAGATAAGAGTCTCACAGACTTTCCTGCCCAGGCTTGTTTTCAATGGTGATTCTCAGATCTCAGCCTCCTAAGTAGTAGGATTGCAGGTGTGACCCACTGATGTGTGGCCATGCTTAGGAATTTTTTGCAAGTGGAATGACATGATGTGTCCACCTAACTGGATTTAGGATTGGACAAAAGGAGGGGATCAAAAAGAGAATGGAAGGATGGCATCCACTGGAAGGCAGAAGTCTGCAGGTGTATCTGATGCTAAGTACCCTTTTAGATTGGATGTCTTTGAAGTTCTGATGGGAAAATTCAGAAGGCTAGGAATGCAGTTGAAGAATTAACTTGGCTATATTTCACACCTCTTTGTTGGATTAAGTCTTCTTACATAGGTTACCAATAGCACCCAATTTATTCAAGAGTTACTGAAAAAACTCCTTTCCACCTTTATTTTTCCATGTGCTCTAGGGGAAAGCATTTATATTGCAGGTATTTGTAATAGTCACATGCTCAAGAGCTTTCAAATTAATGGAACAGCAATGTAAATGGCATAAGCAAAGGGAACATGCTGGCTTTCATTCCTAGCTGATGGGAGCCATTTGGTTTGGCTGGTAAATGGAAATTTTCAGTCTCTTTTCACAAATAGCACTGAAGATCATGCAAGGGTGCTTAAACCCTGTGTCTGGACTGAAATACACAGTACCAACTACACTTCACCTTGCTTTCCCTGCAGGCCCAGCGGTATGAGGAGCATCTACAATTTATGGGCCTTGTATTTTGTCTGCGTATCTCTAGCTTTTTAAAGCTCTGGCTGAGGCTATTGCTACGGTAATCAAATTGTGTGTGTCTTGTGCGTGTGTGTGTGTTTGCCTCACTATGTGGAGGTAGAGAGGGAAGCAAGAGAAAAACCTTAGCTTTATGTGCTCAATTGCTTTAACAAGTTGTGTATTCAAGAATTATAGGGACCCCTGCAAATGTGTTATCAATAAAAGATATGTGAAACTATATTCAAATTCAGTCATCACACATTAGTGGTGGAAATCATTTTTATATGTTCATATGTATTACATTAATCTTACTCTTAATCTTATTATTGGTAATAGGATTTGAATTGGTGCCTCCTGTTTGTTTTGTTTTTTTTAAATTTTCTTACCCATGGCTGACAGCCTACCATTTGTACTATTTCTCCAACCTGGCTTTTTGCTGGCTAATTGGAGATGAAGCACAGATGACTTTCATTTCCAATTTTGTTCAAACTGTGATCCTCAGATCTCAGCCTCCTGAGTAGCTAAGATTACAGGCATGAGCCACTGCTACTCAGCTTCTTTTTTATTTCTTTATTCTCACAATCATTCTGTAAAGTAATATTAATGTAAGTCAGAGTTGGACTTTCCAATCCTATCCAGAAATAAAGAACATGTAACTATAACCCCTTTGTACAGTATTTTTTCAATAAAAATGTATTAAAAATTGAGATTCACAGCCGGGCACTGGTGGCTCACACCTGTAATCCTAGCTACTCAGGAGGCTGAGATCTGAGGATAGTGGTTCAAAGCCAGCCCTGGCAGGAAAAGTTTGTGAGACTCTTATTTCCAATAAGCCACTCAAAAACTGGAAATGGCACTGTGACTCAAGCAGTAGCGGGCTCGCCTTGAGCTGAAGAGCTCAGGGACAGCGCTCAGGCCAAGTAGTTTTACACACGTCATGAGAAATGTTTGTGGCTTTCTTTTTATGTGTTGTCTTTAACTGCATCAGGATTACACAATGAATCAGGACATGTTTCCTCTGACATTTTCTTTTCTTTCTTTCTCCTTTTTCTCTTTCATTCATTTTTTTTTGGCCAGTCCTGGGTTTGAACTCTGGGTCTGGGTACTATCCCTGAGCTCTTTTGCTCAAGGCTAGCATTTGACCACTTGAGCCACAGATCCACTTCTGGCTTTTTCTGTGATTAATTGCAGATCAGAGTCTCATGAACTTTTCTGGATCCTCAGATCTCAGCCTCCTAAATGCCTAGGATTATAGGCATGTTCCTCTTACATTTTCAGAAAAATCCTGAAGAGAATGTACAATATGTCTTCTTCCGCTACTTGTTCAACTTTGTCTGCAAAACCACATGGACCTACGCGTTTCTTCTCAGCAGATTTTTTTTTTTGGCCAGTCCTGGGGCCTGAACTCTGGGCCTGAGCACTGTCCCTCAGCTCTTCAGCTCAAGGCAAGCACTCTACCACTTGAGCCACAGTGCCACTTGTGGCTTTTCCTGCTTATGTGGTGCTGAGGAATTGAACCCAGGGCCTCATGCATGCAAGGCAAGCGCTCTACCACTCAGCCCCTCAGCAGATTTTTTTAAATTAATAATTTAAGTTCTTGTTATAGGCTTACTCATATTTTCCATTTTTTTGAGGCCATTGTTTTTTCTTGAAATTTAATTTGTCTCTCTAGAAATCTATTTCTAGAAATTTTTCCATTTTAGTGTTTAATTTGTTGATGTAATATAAAATTTGTTGTTGTACATAATATTCCTTTATAGTCCTTTTAATTGCCACAGATAATGATACTTATTCTTGCTTCCTGATTTTGCTAGTGTATGTTTTTAAAGAACTTTGCTTCTAACAATTGTCTAACCTGTGACTAAGTAGCCTTTCCCCCCCTTTTCTTTTGAAATAGTTTCTGTGTACCCTAGACTGGCCATGAACTCACAATTCTCCTGCTTCAACTGTATGAATTTGGAATTGCAGTTGTAAGATACCACAGTACCTTTCTGCTCCCAAATGTTACATTTTTGAGATCCTGTCTCAATAAAACAAGACAAAACAAAACAACATCAACAAAAAGAATCTTAGCTCTGGACCCTCATCTACATTTTAATCTACCAAAAGAAAATTCCTTGGCTCCAAATTTCTGTGTTCATTGTAATTGCTTGATTAAATGGAGTGGAATCTACACAAGGCCCCTGGGTCCTGGGATATGCACTGATAATATTTCCATTTGGAGAATAGCCCTTAATCTTTTTTATTATTACTCATTATTTTATTTCAAGGGAGAAGTTGCTGTAGTTGTATTTGTAGGTGCAAACCCGAAGAATTCAGCAGAGAGGGTAAGCATTAGTAGTCTTTCACAAATTGTAACCAGTTTTCTTAGCCTTTAAGGTGTTTGAATATGTCTTTAGAAATAAAGAACATAAGTCCACCTGTATCCCTATTTATAGTCTTCATTTCTAAAGACATATTCAAACACCTTAAAGGCTAAGAAAACTGATACAGGTGGACCCATTGCAACAATGAGATGTACAAGTCCTTATGTCGAAAAACGAACTTTACAGCTTTGGCGAGGAGCGGGGGATGGGAAGAGATGGGAAGGGGAAACAAAGGAGGAGGCAACAATGCTCGATAAGAAATGTCCTCATTATCTTGCCCATGTAATTGTAACCCCTCTGTATGGTATTTTCACAAAAAAAAAAGAGAGAGAAAAAAAGAAATGAAGAACATAAGGATAAACTGTGCCCTAGCTTGTTTTCCATCTTGCTGTGAATGTGGAATTGAGTCTGTATGAAAATAAACATAACTTGCTTTGTTTAGGATCATTTCTATCACAATTCATATAGGCCCTGGATTGGCCACACACACCCAGATGGATGCCTCTGGGCGTGGCTTCTGGCCCCTGTGCTTTATTTTGTATTTGTCTTTTCCCCATTTTTTACTATTAGCACCTGCAGGGTGTTTAATCTTATTAACTGATCTTATTAATACACCAGCAGGGTGTATTTATTTTATTTCTGATGTAAAAACAGTATAGAAATGCATAAATAGAATGTGAATTGAACCTATTTCCCCGCATTATACTTTTGAAAGGAGATTATATTACTAGTTTGTTACATAGCATTTATATCCATGTAATTATTCTAAAAACCAAATGAAATAATTTTTAGAGCTCTGTAATTCTTTAGAATGGCTTTTATATACAATGCAAGCAATAACTGGACACATTGTAATGGTCAAACTTTACATAAACTTAGAACGGTGGCAAACCATGTAATCCTAGGACCCTGGAGACTAAGGCATGAGAGCTGTGAACTAAAGGTATTTCTGCACTACATAGTAAGATCCTGTCTTAAAAAAAAGAAAGAAGCCCAAGAAGCAAAAATTGAACAGCCCAAACCAGAATCAGAAATAAAATATGAATATTTATAGAGGAAGAAGAGTGTATACATCAGGTAAATTGTAGGTCATATATATATATATATATATATATATATATATATATATATATATATATATATATATATATATAGCTGAACTGAGGCTGGGCTGTATTCACTCTATTGATGAACATTCTTTCCATGGTCCATAGTCACTTATAACTCCAAATTCTTTCCTTCCTCTAAATGAGCCTTCCCAATCCTGCTTATTAAAGTGCCATTATTACCATGATAACAATTGCAAAGTGATGACATCAAATATGAGATTAGATAGGCATTTCTAAGAAGTTTGTTGGATTTGGTACAAAACCCTTTATTTCTAGCAACCATTGTATTTTTTTAACCATTACTAGTTATTGAATGTTTGGGTAATAGGTTATTTTTTTGACAGTGGTGGGGCTTGAGCCAGGGCCTGGGCACTGTCCCTGAGCTTTTTTGCTGAAGGCTAGTGCTCTACCAGTTTGAGTGACTGCTCCACATTTGGTTTTCTGATAGTTTATTAGAGATGAGTACAAAGTATACATACTAGATTCATGTGAATCTTGTTTAATCCTTACTACTACTACTACAACCCACTAAGTTACTTTATAGTATTCACTTTAATAAGTAGGAACTATTTTATAAATGAGTAAACAGTCCTATAAAGATTGTCTAATAACCAATTATGCATCCAGAAAGTGATTATGCTAAGAAAGTGGGAGGATAATCATACGTTTTGTTCTTCATATTTGGTAACCTCTGCTTGATTTCCAACTTGTACTCTGTACCTATTCACCAGGACCCATCATACCTTTAAGGCTTTACCAATCCCATTGTGCCCTAAATGTTCAGAAACAGGTCTCTTTACAAGTAATCATGGTTATGAAAACTGTCTTATCAGATATAGCTTCTAATCAGCTATAACCAGTTGAATAATTAGAGAATAAGTTAAAATAATTGCATGGCTCAGCTGTAAACAAAGGATTATCTTAACACCATAAATCGTAGACATGAAGACCAGTGACAGTTGAGTTAGTTATAAGACCTATCTTTATAGTCTACTTTGTGAATGATTTAGGGGGAAATGGGAGATGTATGGCCTTTGTATTTATTATCTTGTCATATTATTCAAATCTGTGCTTTATTTGAAGCTAAATTCTTAGACGGGAACAAATTGCTCTATTATAGCTATCTTCTGATGGGAAACATAATCTACTTATGATATGTTTCTAGGAATCCATTATGACCAAGAATAGAGACTGTCTTTAGCTCCCCAGGACAGGGAAGATTTATGTATTCTTTTAATTCTTTCACTCAGGGAGAGAGAGTAACTATAATTTCTTTTTGTGGAGATAGAAAGATGGGGAAACTCCCATTTCCCCTCCTAAATCATGAGGTGACTAGAGATGGTCTTGGAAAATTAATAAGCCTTCCCTATAAAGGCTTTTGAAATCTCAAGTTTGATTCCCAGTTCCTCTTCAGCTCTAAATATCACAATTTAGTATTGGCTCCATAATCATGATCTTTGAAAATGTCATGGTTTTTAATAGAAGTTGATATTCTGAAGATATCACATTTACTGTCAAGGTTAAACACCTAAGCATTTACAATAAATCTGAATGTGTGTTTATGAAAGGTACTGTTAAATAGTGTGTGGTTAACAAGGAGCATTAGTATAGACACAGCAGTTGTGTCTATGCAGTGAGTGATCAGCTACATGACTTGTATTTTACACCCATGAGACTTTTCTCACTGTGGAGAAATATGAAGATACTACTTCAGCCTGGTATATAATGTATAATGATGCCTCCTGGGAGACATGGTGAGCATGTCTATTGAATATTTTGTCTTTCCAGTTTTGAAAACTTGCTTTAGCAATGTATGAAAGACAAAGGAGAAGACTGACTCAAGAATCATCTTAATGGTATTCTATTCTCAATGTGTTTATTCCTTAATTGATTTAGTAGACTTCTAAGTTTTTTTTATGGTGAAAATACTGTACAGAGGGGTTACAATTACAGGAGCAAGGTAATGAGTACATTTCTTATCAAGCATTCTTAACCTCCTCCTTTGTTTCCCCTTACCATCCCTCCCCTTTCATCACACCCCCCCAAAGTTGTAAAGTTCTTTTTTTGGGGGGGTCTTCAATAAATGCTTTCATTTTTCCATTCATTTTTGTGGGGCTTTTTTTTTTATTGTGAGAACACCGTCCAGAGGAGTTACAATTACATGGGCAAGATAACGAGTTCCCCTTCCCATACCTTCCCATATTCCCTCCACGTCCCCACACCCGATCCTCCCCACACACACCGAAGTTGTAAAGTTCGTTTTTCGACGTAATGACTTGTACATCTCATTGTTGCAATGGGTCCACCTGTATCCCTAGTTAAACAATTTGTTTTTGCCCTTCCCCTCCACAAATTATACCAACATCGCTGTGGCTCAAGCGGTAGAGCGCTGGCTTTAAGCTAAAGAGCTCAGGGATAGTGCCCAGACCCAAAGTTCAAGCCCCATAACCGACAAAAACAAAACAAAACAAATACACTAAATGCTATTTTTTCCTACAAAACAGTGCTCTATGTGCCTCCATGAGGTTAGGTGCTAATGAGTTGAAGACATTTGCTGTTCCCCCCCCCCTTATAGCTACAGTTATTTTCCTGGAAATCTGACTAGCCTTCTTGCAAATTGGTTGAAAGGGGTATTGGTTGAAGTTGCTGAGCTGTCTCTGTGGAGCTCATCATTTCTACTGGGAAAATAATGAGTCTGTTCCCAACATGTAGAACATGTTTGTACATGGCCAAAGTGTCTTCTTTTGAGATAGATATTGGAACACAATAGAAACAAGCCAAAAGGTAATAACCTCATGGATTTTACTCAGAAATGTATCTCAGTGCCGTTGTTCCTGCACTTTTCAGCTGAATGAATATTTTGAAGATTTTGACAATGTGTCTGTTATAAGTAAGTATTTATATTCTCAAGTCTGTACATTTCACACCACTTCAAGAAAGTGATATGGAAGTGGGTAGCGTTTTTTTTAAAGCAATTTGGATCTATCTCAGTTGTTTCAAGCCAAGTAATTATATACATGTTGGTTTGGTTTAGATCATTAACTGCAAATAGGGATTTGACTATGTTGTGTCTAGAATAGCGCCTTACTCATTGTAGACTCTCCTTGAGTCTTCCATTGGTTAGTATATACAGATGTAAGCATAATTTCCCCCCTTTGGTCTTTAAAGCTTCAGATTACAGGTGTTAGATTACAGGTGTTTTATTTTTAAAACAAGAAAACATATTTATTGTAACTAGTGATACTGATAATAAAAAGAACACTTTATTTTCAAAAGTTAAAATTCATTGCGATATATTTAGATATCTGCCTGCTCATTAACAATGGTCTCATCAAATATTTATGGAGAGCACTAAGCTAATCACGGAGGAGCAGAGAATGTTGAGCATTTGCTCTGGGATTTACAAGCTCAAGGGATTTACTTTTGACATAACTGAAATATCAGCTAGTGGATCCAGCGTGGCTCACTTTGTTGCAAAGATCATGTGGGCTCCCTGCTCTGGTCTTCAGGGAGCAGATCACTGCCCAGCTTGATCTAATGCCACATGTTTCCTTTATTTCAAACACTTTCCCACAGCTTATTATTATGCCCTGTACTTGCAAGCCTGCTTTATGTTCTTTGGCCATGTTTTCTTCTGTTGTGGACACCGTGTGTGTGTGTGTGTGTGTGTGTGTGTGTGTGTGTGTGTTTTCTTTTTTTGCCAGTTATGCTCTTCCTCCACATCACTGTGATCACTGTGGACTGTGTAGCTTTGGAGTGAATGATATCTTCTCAGGGAAGTGTCTGTCATGTTTTCTCCATTGCATTTATCCCTTTTATTCAAAAAATGTGTTTTTTTTTGTTTTACTATTC